ATCCGATGTGTCCAAGCATGAGCAGACGGTCTTAATGTCATAACCAAATTAACAACACGAGTCGCACATTAGGGACACTGTTTTGAGCAATTAACTCAGTTGACGATCATCCATGTAAATAATGAATATTAATTGCGTAGCTGTTGTTGGTTCAGTGAAGAGTGTCGCGTCAGTGGAAGAAAAACTCCATGATCGTACAGTGTTGAGTTACTGAATTTTTCATGTCCGCAAGCAAAGGAATCCATGACGTGATTTTAAAAAATAAAGGTTGTTCCCAAATGTCACCGTACACTTAATTAAGGCATAATGACTTTTCTGGAATTAAGCAGAAATAATGAGTTTCAGTGCAGAAGAAAATTGGCTTCAGTATCTTAGATTTGATGAACTGACTATGACTAGAATTAACAAGTCAACACAATTGACACGCAGTAGTTTTGAACATTGTGAATAGTAGCTACATATGAGGTCAGAAAGACGCAGATTAGCTAAACAAATTACTGAATTTTAGGCCAGAATTAGCAACAATGTGTCACAGTAATATATAGCGAGTGTTTAAATAGCTGTCCTACTAGCTAAATATACATATATAAATTGTTACATATTTAATATTTTAATATAATGTCGTGAAATGCTCTAAAATAATTCAAATATCAACAAAACAATGTTGGCTACAAACATTTAGTTTAAGAAAGAACACCTAAAATCTTAATTTTTACAAAATTAAAGCTCCGCCATGTACCATGGTGGGTCCGCGAACCACATTTTTGTTACACTGCAACTCACCAGTACGGTAGGGGAAATGAATAAAATAATAAAATAATAAATAATAGTGACGTCAACATTGTGATAAATTTGAATATACATTGGCCTATTAGAGCCTCCGTGTGTGGTTTTGGACCAATGGGAGAGCTGAGGAGGAACATGTCTGTGTGCAGTGAAAATCAACAGTAAATAATAAACCACTGGGTCCAGAGATGTCGGCTCTGGCCTCTTCTGTGACCGTCCACTGGAGAGCAAACATCTTCCTCCCACAGAGATGTACACACACAGAGATAAAAGTGTGTGTCGTGACCCTGTGCATGTGCAAAGACACACACACACACACACATCCTGTTTATAAGCAGCATTTGCACAAACCCACAATAAAACCCAAAGTGATTCTCTAATGCTGCACCAATATGGAGGTGCACTGACATAAATAGGTGCTAACACATGGGCGTGCATGCTAACGCAAAGCTCAAACACACACACACACACACACACACAGTGAGTTCAGCTGTTAGACGGATGGCGGCTGTCACAGACGGGGTCTCTGTGCTCAGAGTTATGGTCGACAGGAGTCTGCACACATAACCTAGAAAAAGAGAAGTGCAGCAGGAGCAGCAGCCCTTTGTCTGCCAGCCTCATTACTATATAGTATGTGCTGTGGGTCTGTGCTGCGGGTCTGTGCTGCGGTGTCTCCACTGCAGCCCATTCATCACCACATAACTCCCATTATCCCTGACAGTGGCCGCCGTCACACTGCGGCTGCACGGGCTCCAGTCCCAACTTGTTAGGAGCCAATTAATAACATGTGGTCCGTGCGGCAGCAGATCACATGACCTTTAATCAGAAAGGTAATGGGCCGGGATTAAAAACAGCCACCAGGGGATGTGTCGTCCTCTCACCTGCTGCACTGATGGATGATCGGAGCCAAAACACATGTCACAGGGGAAAGCAGCTGTCGTTTCCAACTTTTTTTTTTCCATTTTTTCTTTTCAAGTCCATGGCAGAGAACATGACAGGATTGTACTGCAGTACTTCTTGTACGTGTATACCGTATTTTTCGGAAGTCGTACCAGCCAAAAAATGTATAAAGAAGAAGAAAAAAACACATGCAAGTCGCTTCGGAGTATAAGTCGCACCAGCCAGCTAAGGGTGCCCTCTAGTGGCTGTCAGTGTGAAAATAACAAACATGTAAATTTTCAGTGCTACAGTCACAAACATGTAAATTTTCAGTGGTACAGTCGTAGCGGACACTGGTGCACAAGCCTAGAGTGCCCTCTAGTGGCTGTCAATGTGAATATATATTTATTTTTAGGATTTTAGAATCACTTATGTGGAAGTGTGGCCAAGAATTACACTTCTACTTTGCTGAAACCTCAACCTATAAGAACAGTTTAGGCAGTACACAGTAAGAAGTACATTTCTGTCTTGTTTACGGTACTTAGAACCACAGGGTTTTGATTTTTCTTCTTTTTTAATCCCTCATCTTCATAACCAGCTTCCACAAACGCTCCTACGTTTCTTCAGCAGACTTGACTCTTGCCCTCACCCTCTCTTCTTCCTCCTCCCTCCCTCTCTCTCACCCCCACTTCAGTACAAAGCTGTACTTGTTCGCCCTGCCCTTGCCCTCCGCCCCGCGACGCTGATCAAAGCTGGGTTTTCTGGTCCTCGGTGACAGCCCATAAACCCCTCCCAACCTTGTTGTTGAGGCCATGAAATATTCACAATATTCAGACGTGTGTGTGTTTGTTGTGTGCAGTGTGTGTGGGAACACAGGTGTGTGTGTTTATGGAAGAGGAAACTAGGTCACACGTACAGTCTGAAGTGATGGAAACACACATGTTAATGGGGGAAAAAAACATTTCTGATCCTGCACTTGTCAATGTTTTTTTTTTTTTAATACAATTTGTTCCATTGTATTGAAGCACTAAAATTTCCACTCAGCCAGCACATTGTGGTGGGAGTAAATGTTGTACACACTGTTGTACGTGGGATGTGGCATTAAATAAATAGCAGTCAGCGGCTCCAGTGAATGGTGTCCATGCTGACGGATGAGTCAGAGTCCGTAGGCAACAGTGTTGTTCCCTGTCTGGATCTGCAGCCTGTTGCAGGTGAAATCTGTTCTCTCTGGTTATTTTATTTCATCCTGGACAAAGAACAGACCACGAAAATCTCTCGCTGGCCGGAAACAGACATTCATCTTGTTAAAAATGTTATACAAAGCACGTCGGGGCCAGACGGCAGGTTTAAAAGAGAAAAAAAAAACAACGAATTGTCATTGTTGTTTCACTGTGAGTTTAGTCATTTAAAGAACCATGTGCATGTTTTTACAACCAGGACAATGAAGACGGCAATGGTATTTGCAGTTAAAATATAAATAAGGAAAAAAGACCAAAAAAAAAAAAATACTCCCAGTATTTTAACTATTTTACTTCAGCTGCTGTTTTCCCTCTTGGCTCACATAGAGTTGTGACTCATCTGATTAATCACAGGTTAGCTGTGATTGAATTGCAATTATTCACGATTAATCATGGTTGTGATTAAACATGATTAATCGTGACTATTGTGATACATTCATGGTACAAAACAAAATCTGTGTGTGGCTGGAACAGAAAGATAAGTAACCGCAGGTACTTGTTTGTGCAGCTGAAAACTCTGCTCAATAACGTAGGTGGATTTCGGTCTTTACTCGATGGAGGCTTGTTGCTCTCAAAACTTTGTTTTGTCCTCAGAAATAATAATCGGTCTGCAGTTCCTCACAGTCCACTCGACAGTCGTGTCAGTCAGCCTGTCAGCCGTAGACTTATTTACTGTCCTGTGCTCGGTGACGCTGGTCTGACGCAAGCCGTCCGTCTGACCTGAAGTTGAAGCCTCGACAAACGCATGCTGTGAGTTGGAGAGAGAGTTGGAGAGATGGAAATTTGAGGGCTTGTATGTAAATAACTGTATCGTCTGTGTATTGAGTGAGTAACTTCAAGTGGATGGACGGGGGAGTTACTAGTTAATTTTGACAATCTTACCTCCTGATTGGTTTATCTCTGTATCAAGTGTTTTATTAGAAGTCATTTGGCCATTTATAAAAAAATCTATTCTTTCTTCAGAATTAAGTGGAGAATGTACCGTACCAAGGAAAAGTGAGTGTTTTGTCTCGATAAACAAATCTAAGACCATGAAACTCTGTCCTCACTCAGAGTCCTGCTCTGCTCCAGCCCTAACAACATCTGTAAGGTGTAGACCAATCAACAGAAATGCAAATTTCCTTGCTCCTCTTTGCGACATGAGCACAGCAGGAAATAACCCCCCCCGGTCGGAGACAAAGTCCCATTGATCACAATTATTGTTCGTCCCTGGAGTCTGTGGGAGGTTTGCCCCCCCCCCCTCGCCCCCCCACTTACCTCCTCTCTGTTCCGTTTGGTCGCCCTTCATTAGCTCGTGCTGTGTGTCTGAGTCTTTCTATATCTGTCCAGGAAGTATGTGTTTGGGCAACGTAAGCCCCCGCTCACTGGGGCCATCTGGAAAGCTGGCCGCTGAAATTAAATTTAAAATGAAGGGAGGGAGTCAGGGAGGTAAGAGAGGAGAGAGAGGTGTACAGAGAAGACAGAGGAGGGGAGGAAAACAAATAGAACAGAGTTGTCAGACAGGGAGTAGTGAATCCTGACTGAATCCTGAATGAATATATATTTATATATAAATATATAAATATAAATGTTGCTCTACAATACCTCTGCGTGCCACTAAAGGGCCCCAAACCCCACTTTGATTCCAACTGATCTGAGCGTTTAGCTAACTTACCTGTTCTTAACTTAAATTCTTCCCCTCTTTCAGCCTCCTAGAATCACTCGACTATTTCTTGCACCTAAAGGTCGACGTATTCTCGACATGTTGACGTGTTGACAGCCGAGATGTGAACAGGAGGAAAGACCTTTGTTTTTAAGTCTGCAGTTGTTCTTTAACTGTGTGCCAGATAATGTCTGACAATTTATACAAGGGCGATAAGGGCGGAGACAACCTTGACTGCATCATTGTTGCTCGTCTTGTCTGAGAAAATGATTATAGATTATCACAGTCTGCTGTAGGCTGCAGCTGTCGTCTCATCTGTCTTTATGGGCTTGGATCCATTACCTGTGATGTTGAACCATCTCTGCTGGATTTCAATCATGACATAAATGTGTGTACATTTAAAAAAGAAAAGTAACTTCTTATTCTGATAAATGTTTTCTTGCTCATTTTTCCAGGTGGCATCTCTGGGTGTGACCACCTTCACCCTGTGCGCACTGTGTATCGACCGCTTCCGTGCAGCCACCAACGTCCAGATGTACTATGAAATGATAGAGAACTGCACATCCACGACTGCCAAACTCGCCGTTATTTGGATCGGTGCCCTGCTCCTGGCCCTCCCCGAGCTCCTCATTCGACAGCTGGTAGCCGAGGATACGGGAATTCCGGACGAGCCTCCCGAGGAGCGCTGCATCATCAGGATATCCACCACACTCCCTGACATGCTCTACGTCCTGGGCCTCACCTACGAAGGCGCTCGGCTGTGGTGGTGCTTCGGCTGCTACTTCTGCCTGCCCACCCTCTTCACCATCGGGTGCTCCCTGGTAACGGCTCGCAAGATCCGGCGCGCGGAGCAGGCCAGTGTTCGCAGCAACAAGAAGCAGATCCGTCTGGAAAGCCAGATGAACTGCACCGTCGTCGCCTTGGCGATCGTGTACGGCGCGTGCGTGGTGCCCGAGAATATCTGCAACATAGTGTCCGCCTACATGGCGGCCGGCGTCCCTGAGAACACCATGTCTATCCTCCATCTTCTCTCACAGCTGCTGCTTTTCTGCCGGGCCGCCGTCACGCCGGCGCTGCTGCTCCTTCTCTGTCGCCCCCTGGGCAGGGCCTTCTTAGACTGCTGCTGTTGCTGCTGCTGCTGTAACCACTCGCCCTCCTCCGCCACAGCCAGTGACGATAACGAACACGAGTGCACCACTGAGCTGGAGCTGTCCCCGTTCAGCACCATCCGCAGGGAGCTGAGTAACTACACACCTGCCGGCTCCAACTGCTAAAAATGACATTCCACGTTAGGAGACCTTTCCCTCGCCCGCAATTCGCCCACGGCCATTAGTTTTCACATTGGGCTAAAGGGACATTTGCCTTACTTAATCTGGTCACAGAAGGGAGTTGGACACTGAATAATCAAGTACTGCCAGTGTCCCACCGTCCTCAACCCTCAGTCTTCTTACTCTAACGTTAACAGTGTAACTTTAATGTCCGAGGAACACTAAGAGAAAATTAAATCCTGGTTCTGTTCATGCCCTGTGGTGCTCCTTAAAAACAGGGTCATAACAATCCTGCCTAAAACCTTACAAACCTCCCTCCTGTTGACCTTGTACGCCAAAACATCTCTGGACACTCGTCTGACGTCTGGAGGCTTGAATCGAGTTTTTCCAAAAGTCTTTTCTTCACGATTCTGCGATGAACCTCCTGGACTCAGTGATGCGCAGGTGACGGGTCGACTCTAGCGTGATGTAATCCCAGTTGAAGTCGACTAGTCGCTGATGACTCTACAAGTCTTTTTCAGTCATTTAACTTCATGCAATAGCTGTGCGTCCCAATACAGCAACCTGCCCAAAATGTAGCCACCCAGTTAGCTAACTTCCTCTTGACACTGTGGACAAAATGTTTTCAAAATCCCTGCAGAAAAGCCCCCCTCCCACAAATCCCACCTCAGCATTTACTGCTTCTCCCCCATTATCACCCTCTGTCACCACATTAGGCAAAGTAATGCAATTTCAAATCAAACTCTCGCGGATTACAGTTGTCCTAAAATTTGACGGCGGGGCCGGGCCAGGAGCAGATAAATAGAGAGTTCGTATGAATTAAAATAAATGACATGTAAAAGTCATAAAGGCTAAAATGCTTAAAATAGTTAAGCCTTTTTTACGCCATCTATTGGAGAAATGTGGGCATTGCAGGGAAAAGGCAGAAGTAAATGATAATAGAAATTAATTAACATCATTTGGACAAGTTTGGCGGGCCAGATTAAAAAGCCAAACGGGCCACATTCGGCCCCTGGGCCTTAGTTTGCCCATGCCTGATTCAAATCAATGGCGTCCAAACCATGTGATCAGCGACTTGTCTACGACAACTGAAGTCAGCTAGTTGACTTGTTGATTAGTCTGTTCAACCACTAATAGCTGATGGTAATTATGCTGTGCCATGTAGAAATGATAGCGAAGGCGTGGTCGAAGAGTAAAAGCGTTCGTAATGATCAACGATCGTGGCCATCATAAATATTGCATACGGGGAAATGGAACTGCAAATTGCCTTCCCGACGTGTCACCGATGAAACGATGAGGTCGAAGCCTATTAATCAAAGACAACCTCAGACAATATTTCAAACCCAGCATGCAGTGGGGCAGACACTGCCTACAGTTGTACAGGACCGGCTTCACGGACTACAGCCGCTTCATATGGTGCTCACATCTGAACAAGGCTTCAGATAATTAAACTGGAGGACGTGGCGGCGGCGGCAATGACAGATTGCACGATGAGAAAAAAAAAGGAAAGAAAAAAAAACACAGAAGAACACAAATGTACACATCTTCATTAGACACTGTATAATGAAAACCTATCCACACAGCACTGGGCTGGACTCAGGACAACAGCAGCATCAAGTCTGAGACCCAGTGAACTCACAGGAGAGGTGAAGACAACGGAGCAGGTTAATGGAACGTGACGAAGTAGGATGTAATTAAAAGGGACGGCGTGGGCGTGGAGCGGACTGAAAATGGACGTCTGCACTTCAGCTGTGCTATCATGTTGCAGCCCATGCTGTCAGCTGGGTATAAATACTGTACACTGTATCTCTGGTGCTCTTTTGGACGAAAACAAAAAAAAACAAAACAAAGCATTGGTCCAACTTCAAAACACAAGTAATTCAGTGTGTTGCTATGTGGACAGTAGAGAAGACAGATTACAGCCATCGGTTTCTCTGACAAAAATATAAATGATAGTCAAGAACCAGGAGGGGGAGAAATCAATGGACAGATCCATAGATGTCTTTAATGGCCCTTGTTTAAGAGCTACTCTGTATTTACTGTGTTTCACAGTACAGTGTAGTACATACTTCATTTACGACCACATTGACTCACGAAACGTGACTCACAGCAAAATCACATCTGCAATTTCAAAATTGAAATTTGCTGATTGATTTAAAGTGGGTCAAAGCTTCACCTTTGACCTTAAGATTCCAGCTGGTATTTTCCCAACCCAGGTGATGTGTTCCTTTATTTAAGGAACATTTAAGGAACATAAGGCATTTAAATCTGATCTGATTCATCACAGTGTTGCTGTGGATTGATCCTGATTAATCACGATTAATTGAGATCAGCGATCTTTTCAATAATTAAAAAAAGAAAAAAATATGTATTTTGCAGGAATATACAAACTGTTTTTACTTGTGACTGTTCTAAATGGAAAAATGTCAAGAAAAATATGCCAAAGTAGAACAAAACTATTTTGTTTTTTAAAATTATCCAAAAAAAAAATCCGAAATGTTTACTCTGTGAAATCACTGCAATTTTAGCTCCAACAAATCATTTCCGGACTTTGACCTAATGCTAGCATGAGCAACGAGTTTTATTTTGGTTAAACTTTAGCAGCGATTTGTGTCGTCATCTTCCCTGAAAAGTTAGCTGCTGACGTTGTTTCTAGTGAGTCAGGACTAACTAGCCAAAGCTTACCCACAATTCCTCGAGTCAGATACTCAGATACTCCAGCTGAACTACTTGTGTTTTTAAGGAGAACCAATGACGAGATTTCCACCGTGTATAAACTGACTAAAGTGTTTTTCTACCTTAAATCTGTTTTCTTAATCCTAATTCGGTGATCAGACCTGGGTCAAAACAAGATTGTTCCTCACAGCAGTGTAGATACCTGAACATGTACGATAATTTCCCAGGCCTTCGTCAGAGTTTTAATATTTTCTCTCCATTAATTTATTCAAATATTTATGTTGTACAGTATACTGTAGCAGTGAAGCCTGTGATGACCCAGGTGTGATGTGGGTTAGTGTACTGTATATTCCGATCAGTCTCTGGCATATGATTCTGCACTGCCAAACACACCTTCTCTGTGTCTGTCTCTTCGTGCTCTTGTGGTCGTAGCACAGTATCTCCGGGTGTCTCTCAGCGTGGAGGTCAGTTTGCCCCTCAGTTCCGTCAGAACAGGGAAAAGAGAACACACAAGAACGCATCGACTAAGGAGGCCTCGAAACTGTCCAGGACTAAATCACAGGATCCTAAAAAAGTCTGAAATGGCATGGAATATCTTTATCTAAATTTAAGGACTTAATTGGTATTAAATGTCTAAAATCAGTTTGTCTACCACAACTGCATTACTCCATCAGTCCTCTAGGGTTAAAAAAAGACCCCGTCTGGTTTGTTCTTTATTTAAAGAATAGATTCTGAACTGAAATTTAGACTTTAGAGAACACATAAATGTAAACATATCATCACCCCAGTGGTGTTTTAATCTATGTTTATACCAACCCTGTTACCAAAAAGATGCTAATACTTTTTAAGGATTTTTATATAAAAATAAAAAACAACCTCTAGCAGTGCAAATCTTAGAAAAAATTGGGGTTTTATTAACAATGATTTTGTAGTTTTATGTATTCAATTGAACTTAACATAAAGGTTGGTGCTAAATCTCACTGTGGCTGGTGTTAAAGGGAGTCTTAAAGTGGACATATGCTAAATATGCTAATATTAACGTGACGTCTATATGAACCTGGATGTTTCTCAGTGGCAGGTGGTTACTTCAGCTGTACTTTTACAACCCACTGGTACCTCAGGTGTTTACATAATATAGCTCATGTTCATTTAGCACTAGTGCTAACTGAGCAGCTCTGTTAGCTTTGGAGTGTCGTAGGCTAGCAGTCACGTATGTGGTCAAATCAAAACATCTCATTTGGGCGGATTATCAAACATTTACTAATAGAGTTAATAATGACACGTGGGTGTACTCAGGAGTACCCAGTACTGAAATATTTGTACCAAAACCCAACAAAATGTCATTTGTTCGATATGTCTCCTTTAAGAAATCTAAAATTCTCCTGCCTGAAGCTGTAGGAAAACCTTCTTTAAAGACAAACCTCTCGTGTTTCTGCCCTGTCTTGTAGCAACAGCCTCCAGTAATAAACTCAACTTTATGAGCCTCAAGGATCCAGGTGGAGACAACCTCACGTTGGCACCGCCGGCGGCTCTGCTGGAGAAATGGGCAGCAGCACAAAATCTCTGCATCATGATGCCCTGCAGTGTGTTTGTCAACTTTGTTTTATTACCACCACTATCAGGGCGAGAATGTAAACCTGTCCACACATATTAGCTTTTATGGCCTGGAACCTGGAGCCATTTTCACATTGAATCACTTCCACTCACTGGGCTGAAGTCTGGATGGTTTTTTTTTCTTTTATCATGGGTGTAAACTGACCTCTACCTGATGATCTTCCTTTTCTGCCCCCCCCCCCCGGGAGTATAGCTCATTTTAAATGGCTTGGTGTGTAGTAGCGTGGTTCAAACTGTGGGTGACGTAACTCTTGTAAATCACGCCGTGAGACGTTTTCTTTCCTAACTTTGTGAGTTTCCTCTTCGACCTGAGCGAAACGTGTGTGCGGTGCTGACGGCCCGGACACGTTAGCACGCGGCCGACCGCTGTCTGAACGTCTAGTCACCTGTTTCTAAGTAGCTTTTTATATAGCCAAAAAAGACGTTTATCATGAGAAGTGTATATTAAAATCATAAATGTACAAAAGCTGTGGTGGGTTTTATTTCTGTATTGAGAATTTTTTCACCTGAGTTTGTTTCTGTTTCACTTCACTAACAGAGGGCTTCATATTCAACACATTGGTGTTTGTGCATGAAACTTAATCATTTGTTTTTGCTCTTTCTTCCAGTACCTGTAAACCGACTGCACATCTTCATCATCATCATCATCATCATCATTAATCTGCCATGTCCTGTCATCATTCTCCTAACGAACACTTTTACTTTACTTCTGCTTAAAAATTATAATCTTGTAGTTGCATGATACTGCCACCTTGTGGGCTGGCGTACAAGCCAGAGCGTGCACTTCAGTGGCTGATGAAACTACGTGAAAACAGACACATAGAAAGTTTGACCAGGCTGTAGGGATTCTTTAAAAATATATATTATTTAAAGTGTGGCTGAGGCTGCCAGCGAAGTGTACGAACATGAAGAGAACAGACCAATTAAAGACTTCACAGCGGTGGTAAAAGAAAATTTGAAGTCAAAATGACTCCACACACACTAGGACTCACTTTAAAGCTTGAATTATCTCTAAACTGCCTTGGCCTTTTCTCTCTAATGAAAGATTTTTTTTCTCTCTTTTGAAACAGGCGAACAACCTCCACACTCCACAAAACTCTGTCCCAGATCAGACACACAAAAAACAAAAACGTAGATTGTGTCTAAATGGTTTGATTTCGGTTCTACGAGGCTGTAATTTTCTGTTCCTCACATTTCAGAGAATATTCATCAGTGATTTATCACCGCGCTCTGTTCTCCTCACACATCCCACTCATCCATCTCTCCTTTCATCTCTTTGTCCGCTCGTTCCAAAGTGTTAGCTAACGGTGACGACAGCCACCGATGTTCCAGGTCTGGGTCTGCGATAAGAGAACAGAGAACAGAACTGTTTGTGTCGTCTGTGACAGAAGCACGGAGCTGTGGTCCACAGCAATGGGCAGGAAACGGAATGTTTCCAGAGGAACTAAAAATGATCTGTACCTCCTCACCCCCCCACCCTCCAGCCCCCCAGAGGTCACTCTGAGGATTCTCACCTAAAATGACAAACCTGAGATAGAATTAATCATTTATCAGTAATCACAAAGTCTTTGTGAATCAGAGTAAAGCTAACACTTGGCACAGTTAATCAGAGGTGTAAACATCACAGCAGATGACGTTCAGTCACTGTAAAAAAATAAATAAATAAATAAAAAGAGGAAGGGAGGAAAAATGTCATTGTTTAACTTAGCAGTGTTTCCCAGTGTTTTTTACATTTTTTTTATTTTTTATCATATTATTTTACAAACCTTGACCAGAGTCAATAGACATTATTCGCAAATCACTAAATAAAGGTGTATGTGACCATTATTGGACATTAATGAGGATATTTGATTGTTGACCGAGTGATAACTGAACAATTAGTATTACTCAAGTTTTAAACTTAACCACAGGTGGCGCTTTAAAACGGGCAGCTACTTTGAGGTTGGATACAGACAGCTGTTGCGATGACAATTGAATAACAGAAATAATTATATTTTATAAACTAGTATACGTTTATATATATATATGTTAATTTTATTATCCCCATATTTTGTCTCCCAGTTCATATAAAGCCATAAATTTATCTTTGGTGACTAATATTTTTGGAGGTGATTTGGGATTTTCTTCCAATGATGCATTTTTTTTAAAGGTTGGATACAGACAGCTGTTGCGATGACATTTGATGGCATTTTTTTTTAAATCCATTGACCTGGTGTTTTATGTAATAGATTTTTTTTTTTTTTTTGCACATTTCTCCTGATTTCAGTTCATTGCTGCCAAATCATATTTTTGTACTCACCAGCAGGGTGTCGTCCAATCAACGAGAACAAGAAAAGTCTAATTATAAAACATTTGATGCTGAGAAATGAATGGCTTCACAATTAGCCACACGCTGAAGATAAACAGAAGATTTTTTTTTTTTTGGATACTAGAAGCTACTCTCTACTAAAACAAAAGTTTTAGTAAAGTTAAAGTATTATGAGTTTTTAAAACTGCAAATATTGTATTTGAATTTGGGGACGGTTGACTAAAAGACAGTTTGACCTGGTCACTTCCGCTCTTGCCTCACTCTTTGGATGCAGGGATCCTGAGGGACAAACCCTTGTCAAGACACTGTATTCGGGCAGTGTGTACTTTAAGGAAAAGTACCTGGAGAAAATACAGGTATGTGAGCTGTGGTACCAGCAGAAATACTTCTGTTTTCATTCATTTTTGAACACTTTTTTTTATTTATTTTTCTTGTCTCAGGAGGTTCATGCTACACAGCACCTGTACTGCTGCCATCACCAGCACGCGTGTCAGTTTGTTGTCCCGTGATTTTGAAAAGACAAACGTGTGTGTGTGTGTGTGTGTGTGTGCTTGTGTGTGTACACGCGTGTGGATTGAGCCTCTTGTCCCAGAAAAACTGACAGCGTGTGTAATTTATTCCCCTCATTTTCACAAAACTCTCTTCCTGCCAAAGCACTCACTGCTTTCAATCAACCCTCAATCAGTACCAAACTTTCAGGCATGTGTGTGTGCGTGTGTGTGTGTGGCTGTCTCTGTTTTCTTTCTGACACTGTTTGTTGTTTTGTTGTCTGACTATACGAGTGTCTTCAAAAACCATTTCCCCAATTCAACCTCCCATCGAAGCAAAGAGCTTTCACGATCAAACAAAAGTTCCAATTCAGATCTTTCTCATTGTGACTTTATTATCCCGTCTATTGTTCGACACACTGCAGGTCCTGGATGTAGTTAACGCAACGCTCCGCGGCAACAAGCCTGCATTGTTGACGTAGAATGAAAAGCTCTGCCACAGACAGAGTGGCGTTTTTTATGCAGACTTTGTTGAGAAATTCTTTTTGAGAAATCTGACTTCTGTACGCTTCTGTACCAATCACTGTTTGGTTTTTTTCAGTTGCCCTCTGCTATTGAATAAGAAAATAAAACAGAGGAAGTGGATGAGGTTTTAGTATGATGAGAAAATGTTTGCAGTGTCAGCGTCAGCTGCTGCCAAGTAAACCAAAGGAAGGTCATAAAGCTGCAGGTTTTTGAGCTTGTTCAATAAAATACGACCTGCTCTGTTCCGGGTTTGGTCGTTTATTCCTCACAATTTGAGCTGATTCGCTGAACAAAGCCACAACGAGGAGGAGAAATGATGTAACGGTTTTTTAGCAAAGTCAAAGAGGGGCACTGCACCTTTTATCCAAATCCCTTCCTGGCTGACAAGGACCACATTAAATTGGCTTTGGGTTCATTTTTTCCAGTTGACTTTGGTTTGATGCATTTTAAAACATCTATTGACCTCAACGATATACATTGTGTATTTTCCCTTTCCCTAAAAACTACTGTAATTCCAGCTCAATGCTCCCAGAAATATGTTGCTAGCAAAGGTGTAGCTCATGTTTCTAAATATGAGATTCATTTTCTTACCACCCCTGCATTAAAATCAGCATCTTGAAGGGCCACTACTTCCAGCCCATCTTTTTTTAAAATAAATATAGTCACTTATTATGAGTATATAACGTCATACATGAAATATAAATCATCACATTTTGGAGGGGAACTAGCTCCTAACCCAGGCGTGGGGCAAACTTTTTGATTTTTTGGGGCCACGATTGTCCTTAAAAGGCCGGGTCAGGAGCAGAGAGATGGAGAGTTCATGTGAACTAAGATAAAGACTAAAATGCTAAAATGTGTTAAGCCTTTTTACGCCCTCTATTAGAGAAACGTGGGTATTGCAGGGAACAGGCCCCCCGGGCCTTATTTTGCCTATGGCCAACCCTTTATGGACGATTTGTTTGACTTGTTTTCAAATCTGACTCATAATTAAAACTGAATAATCAGAATTAAACGGATGGTTAAATCGCTGGTGTCAGCATGTTTGTTAGCTGTGTTTATGCAGTGCAGCTGCAGTAAATGGTCCCATTTGCATGTAGTAATATGGAGATGGACGCGTGTAGTGACACCTGCAGGTCTTTCATATACTGCAGTACTGAGCCAGTGTTGCCTTTAAGTGTTTGCTTAGTGGAGGTTTTCATTTTGAAGACGGTTCAAAGACACATCCAGATCATCCACTGGCAACTGCTCAATAACACACACCCCACCTCCTCCGCCGCTCCTGCCCCTCCAACCATTCATCTCTCATCTTCTCCAAAGCACCACCGTGTCCTCTCATACATTTTAAAAGCAACAGGGTGATCCTGCTGGTCAAGTGTGGAATAAATACATAATTTACCAACACAAGTCAACTCCGGTTCAGTGTCGTGGAAAAGACGAGATAAATATTTCACTTTCTGAATAGAGAAAGGCTGGAATAGAATCAGAGTTGGGGAGGAATCACTCCAATGTGTGCAGCTGTCTGGTTTTAATTTGACTAGTGTTTCTAAAGCTAATAGAGGTTGTTTTTTTCTTTTCCTGGAGCCAGTGTGGGCTGGCTGTTTGTGGTGGGAGTCCAGGGGATAACTTTATCTGACAGGGAAAGAAAATTGCTTTGGGGAAATAAAAAACTGAGGAAGGCAGAGGGAAACGGGGCATGTTAGATTTAAAAACTGCAGCACCGAGGTGTCACAGGAACAAAAGTGCTTTAAAGCCATGTTCTAACCAAAGAAAAATAAGGTTTTTCCACCAGCTAGATGCTTCCCAAAGTGCGGGGCGGGGCCCTCCCAGGGGACCCTCCCAAGTGCCAGTGGAATGAAAGTGCTTTTATAAAAAGTGCCCTGTTCTAACCAAAAGAAAAAAAAGGTTTTTCCACTAACTCGGTGGTACCCAGGGGGGAGGGGAGGGGCTTGTGATGGTGTGCTGCATGGCAAATGCATTTATGTTTTGATATTTTCTTTATTGTTTGAATTTTTGGCATTTTTCCTTCTCTGTGATGAGAGTAACAGTTTTGTAAAGCTCGCACTGTTTCAAACAAAGATCACTGGATACGTTTTGTTTCAGAAACATTCAGCAGTGCATTCACCTGATCTAAGGTGTCATCAGGCCTAAACTAAAATTTTCTGAAGACACTCAGACATGGGTGCATGTGCTTGTTACGTGCAGCCCTTTAAGTCGCCAATAAAACCAAAAGACTGTTGTATTATTTCAGGCCATTTAGCATTTGCCCACTCATGCATGGGCTACAATCACAGTGAGGTCGAACCTTATTCCATACACGCAATGAGTCCAGAATCAAATGCCTTTTCAGAACAGATCTGATGTGTTTAATATAAGAAGTGAATGTACAGTAGCCATTGACTTGCAAAAAAAAATTTACAAATTTAATTTAAGACATTTTTATTCATGCTTTAATCATCTCCCCCTAATTTCAGAGAGGATCTTATATCTCCTATGTATTGCTGACGTTTAGACTCCAGCCCAGCAGATGCCAGTAATGCATCTAAAGTTCCCGAATCAGTTGCAAAGAAGCTACGCATCGAGTATTGAGTGACGTCGATGAACGAAGAAAGTTTGTTAAAAAGAAAATAAAATTGCTCGACTAGTTGACAAAAATAGTTTGTTTGTTTTTAGTAGCTTTATTAGCAGCGACCACTTCAAGACTAGGGAATCAATTTAAGATAAAAAAAAACAAACAACGGACACCAGAACTAGCATTAGCTACGTCAATCCTGAACAGCGTAGGTGGTTAAATAAAAAATCACGAAAAGTCTTGAAAACTACTTTAGCATTAGCTACGTCAATCCTGAACAGCGTGGGTGATTAAATAAAAAATCACGAAAAGTCTCGAAAACTACTTTGGTAAGTACTTTGTGAATGCATTGGACATATAAAATATAAAGAGATATGAAACGAATGAAAAATGAACTTTGTTAGCGTTTATGGTCACGTTCAAGTCTAGTCGCGGTTTCAGTCGTCAACCGAAATTCATTCGTCGTCATCGAGCAGTGGCGACAATTTACATTTCAATCAGTGATAGTGCTCTGTTATGGATAATACATTATTGTACTGCGTTTGAAAAGTGTGCCACCGAACACTTCGCAAGTCACTAACGTATGGAATACATTTGACACAAACGTCGCCTCCAAAGCTTTTATCGCGCGAAGCACAGACGAGAGCGCGCGCATGTGCGCGCACACACGAGGGCGAAGGCTGCAGCGGATCATGTTTATGTATAAGACACAACGTGCGTGGATGTGACTCAGTGAGTTGAAACCTCGTCTTGTGCTTGTTCCCAGGCTTTGTGAGTCAACGTGTCACTTGGATTTCACTTAGTACGTCTCAGAGTGAGGGTGAACTGTGTCACGCTGCACACTGTGTCTTTTGATTGTTTGCCTTTGTTGCAGCTAATGGAAATCCTGCCCTGTCGTCTCAGGCTGGTCCGTGACTGAGAACTACTTAGTCTGTGCTGAGAGTTCGATGTTCTTTAAAGTGTCCTCTAATTGGTTCTTCTTCTTATTAGGCGTCAATGTTGTTAATCGTTCATCATTAACACATATTGCCCAGCAGCTGAATGGTTTGTGACGTCACTGAAGCTCTAGCTGACAGTCTGAAGCTTGAGTTGTTAACATTAAATGGTACAGATGAGTCTTAATCATTGTCTCCTTTGTGTCTACATCCAGATACCTCCCAGTAAGACACTGGATTCCTCCCATCGTTATGGACGCACTCCATCGACTGCATGACAAACAGGACGAGTTGTCACTTCCACTTCCAGAGGATCTCATTGGTAATTTGTTCTAATAATAATAGTAATTTGAACAAAACTGGTTCTCGAGTCTTAGTTCCCTATAAACTGAGGGCCTGGAGCAGATGGATAAGGCTACATATTTCACAAGGTCACAGCACAATAACACTGTCAAGATTAGATTCTATTTTGTCACGAGTACCAGGCAGCAACACACAGTTAGCCTCTAGCCAGATGTGGAAAGAGTAGTACATGAGATACATGATAACAACGAAAAACCACTGTCGTGGTTATAAATACAACTATCATGTATGTATGTGCAGTATGCTATAGGCAGTATATACATATATTGTGCATATAATATATTGTACAATACACATATGTTGCACATTATATATTTCCACATTAAATAATGTGTATATAATGTTTGAAACATTACATATATTTTATATTTACATACTATATACATGTATTGTCAATCACATACACATATGATACATGTATATTTGAAATCACTACTATATACATGTATTGTCAATCACATTACACATATGATACATGTATATTTGCAAATCACATATATGTTATAAATTACACATATTTACACATATACATGTCTATATACATATCTATAGTATAAATGAAGGAGATTTTGAATCCTTTTTGTCTACCATCAAGTGTAAGAATAATTTGGTTATGTCAGGGTGGTGAGAGGTGAATCAGCCCAGGACATGTCAGAGTTTTGTCACTTTTGTTGTGACACTTTGTTGGTTAATCTTGCTCAACAGCATTCATTCCTAAAAGAGACTCTGACAGAAATTGAAAATACCCTGACACCCTGCAAACTTGGGTTTTTTACTTTTTAAGCCCTCCGATGTTGCACCCAGAGCTTAATGTCCTTCCGTGCCTTTGATACGTCTGCACACAACTTACTACAGCAAGTCTAACTGCTCAGATACTCCGTCCTAAAATCAACAAGCAGCTCCTGGTTTTGCTGACACTCACTAAACTGCAGCTGCCTCTGCAGTCATAGCTTAAGCTCCTCCATTTTATCATGTCAGGATTGCTTGTCATTCCTACTTTGTTGCTTTATTACCGACTGCGAGTGAATGTGTCTCGGTGACTCAAAGTGCAGTGGAACTCAAAGACTGAGAAAGTGTCTGTCTTGGCTTCTCAGCACTTTAATTTCTCATTGTTTTCTGTAGGATTCACAGAGTTAAGAGTCAGAATTATCAGCCTCCATCAAACTAAGCTCGCCACAGAACATTATCAGATTGTATTTGAGGCTTTGAAGAAGTAAAAACTACCCCTTTGTTGGGTAATGAAATTTTCTTAATACACTTTTATTATTGGACTCGAGCACAAAGCTCTAAACCCGAGCTATTCAAAGAGCACAAAGCTCTAAACCCGAGCTATTTAAATCCTTTTCTTTGGTTCAAGAGTCTTTTGTACTTCCTTGAACCCCTGGTGTCTTTTTATTAAAAGTTTCAAAAACTGTCAGAGTTAATATGACACTCAGTGTTTCTTCTTCAAGGCAGAAAAACTGTTTCTCTCAGAAAGACTGTCGCCCCTTTTGCCTGATATCAAACTCGCTGAACATTAGAGCGAGGAGTGTGGCGCTGCTTCAGCTCCTGCTTTCCCTGTCATTCATTTCTAGGTCAGTGGGAGAAGAAGTGAACGCTCGACTGAGCTGGAGAAATGCTCAATGAGGGATCCTCACATCACCATTTACATGAGTGCATGTGTGTATGTGTGTGTGTGTGTGGGTGGGTGCAGTGAAGCGAAGGATCGTCACCTCAAATCCAAACGGCACAGACACGGGCACACAAATGTCTCAGATACACAGTCATTCACTACTGTTTTATACAGACAGGAAACGGCTTTTAGATGCAGTAAAAGTGTCACTTTTTTACCTGTCACTATTTTCCAACCTTACTTCCTTCCAACCTTACTAAGTTAAATTCTCTGTGGCTGATAAAAAAAATGTTTTTTGTCTTTCTAGCTTTCCTTCAGGTCCAAGTCTGACTAGTGGGCCAGCCTGTCTGAACTGAAGCTGCTTAAGGAGTCGACAACATGAGACGACAACAGGTGATGATACATAAATGATATAGATATATATCATTATATATATATATGCTGTATATATGTATATTAATATATACATATATATGTGTGTGATACAAGTCCCAACGTATACATTGACAACTATCCAGAATGTGGAATTGATTTTGTTACATTTTGGTCTGTTTTTGCAAGAACACGTGAGGTATTACTAGAAAAGATATTTAAAAAAAAATTAGATTAATGATTTGACTACTGTAGAAATAAAAGTTATTCAACTTAGACTCTGGACAGTCAGTCACATTTTTCTCATATTCTGTTCCTTCAATTCATATTCATATGGTATTTCATGAAGCAGTGAATGAACTCGGTATACGTCTGACCGTGGTGCTTTGAAGTACAATCATTAATGATTTCCACAGTGTCTCCATATAAGATTTATGTTAATGATCATTTGCCTCCTTCTCTTTATGTTTGAACCTGTTTCAATCCTCGGTGAGCTCGACAAAGAAAACATTTGAATTCATCTGCAAATGAAGGAAGTACTGCAGTAATATTTAATATGCAGCTCTGATTATGACCACTTTGGCTCAGAGTACAGGCTGTGACTGAGTACTTCTCTTTACTCAGCTAATATTTGATGGATCCCTATAATGGAGTTGAGCTAAAATGGAACGTGTCATTCCAAGATATATGTCACAATAACATTTAGCAACGACTATTAGCTTTAAAGGTGATTAAATTAGCTCTTTAGAGTATTGATACCGGAACGTCTAAAACCGTGTTCTCCCTTTGCAGATTAGTCTTGTTTAGCCAGGAAGTCAAGGTTAACTGGCTCCAGAGAGGAGGTCTAGCTGTAGATTAAGAGATCAGAGGAGGAAGCCACAAAGAATCGCCAGGCTTTAAGGTGAAGGCTCTCTGGGTGGCACAACTAAGACTCTCAGATAAAAGAGAACAATTCTGAAAGGTTTGTGGGGAAAAAAAAGGAGGGTTCACTTCAGGGCTAAGGCACACATGTTAAACTCAAGGCGATTTTTTCATTAAAAAAATATTTTATCGAGTCTGTACTAATGTTGGCTGGGCTGGTTAAATGCAGCGGTCAAATTCTCTATGTGTATAATATATGCATGGGATTTTTTTTATCTGAGGAAAAAACTGTTCGCCCCCCCAAATAGAATATGGTGTAACTTCTTTTGGCCCGTTGAGTGATTGAGTTTGACACACCTGGACTAAACTGTGAGATAAACCAAAAACACTGGGATTTGTTCTTATTTTCAGGGCTGCAGGACGGAATGATGAAACTTCGTCTTGCAGCCCCCGTTTCAGAGTTCTCACAGCTTGTTCTTGACACAGCATCTGTGCAGAACCTTCGTCTTGATTGGCGTCCAACTGTTGTGTGTTCAGTCAGATTGTGTAAGTAGGTGTGGTTCACTCTGGTCCTGTGGAGGGGTGGACAAATCACCAAGGTTTATTTAATTTTATTCCATTTCCGCAGTGATTGCAGATCATAAAAAAAACTCACTCATACGTCTTCGTCGTCCTCCTCTTCCTCAGTCCTTAAATCTTAACTGCCTTCCCAAGAGATTGGAACTTGATGGTGAAATTAAAAAAAACACGTATAAATATAAAATGTAAAAAAAATACAAAAGGGTAGATTAAAAAAAATTATATATTTTAAACAAAAGTTCAAAATTAATTAAATGTTTGTCATGCAGCTCAATTTTGACAGTTCTCAGGACCATTGTCAATAGGTCAAAAAACAGGAACAGGAAGTAGTCAGAACCAAGGAAGAAACCATTGGCATGCACAGACTCTCTGAGAAGACTGAAAGGAAGTGAACTGGCAGAGGAGACTGAGCGGATGTGGATTTGTATACACAGTGGGGAGTGGAGATAACAAGACACAGGTGGCACAAAGCATAGGAGAAGCAGGTAATCAGGGGAGAGGGGAGAACAAAGGAGGGAAGGTACTGCCAGTCACAGAGGACTGAGGGCACAGACGGAGGAATGACCTGGAACAAAATACGAGCTCTAGGTCAGGGAATGAAAGGGAACGCACAGACGGAGGAATGACCTGGAACAAGATACGAGCTCTAGGACGACAAAATAGAACAGAAAAAAAAATAGTCAGGGAATGAAAGGGAAGATGAGTGGATGTAAAAAATGATTTATTAGCTGTGGCCTCGGTTAGGATTTGGTTAACTAAAAAAACTAACATTTGTAGTAGCAGCAACTATGTCAGCTTTGAGTCATGACTAAATCAAGTCAAAGATTCGATCAAAGATAGCTTCTCCACAGGACCAAGAAAGATGAAGCGTCCAGTCAGAACAGCTGCAACTCGTACCGCGTGCGATACGTGCTGCGAAATTCTAGCTTCTCTGAAACACCGAGCTCTTAAGTGAATTATACTCACCTGAGGAATTAAAGAACTGCAGTGACAGCAGGAGGTGACGCTGTTCGAATCCTAATGGTTCTTTAATTGCACTGCGGTGTTTTTCGCTGGCTGTTGGTGGATATTGTGATGATTTCTTTTTTTTCTTCCAGCGGCAGGTGTTTGTTGTGCCTCAAATGTCTTTTTGAAAAGAAGACATCAGAGTGCATAACTGCATTACTGTACGTACTGTGTACTCACAGAGTACAAAATAATGAGATTTTTTTTCCCCAAGTTTCTGATTTTGCAGAGGTCTGTTACAGTATACACTACGGGGGATTTATTTCCTGTTTGTTACGTGGGTTAAGTTAAACAACAAGGATACACAATACTTTGTCCTCTTCTTCAGTGTTTTGTCACAATAATAAGACGTTTGGCTGCCAAGACAGAAAGTGAGTTGTCTGTGCTTCTAATCATGCTGAATATTATGCTTTTCCAACAAACAAACAGGCAAAAAGTGGAGTAAACAAAACTGCAAGTGTATGTGTTTGTTTGGTAAAAAAAACTGCAACAAAACACAATCAAACGTTGTACTATTTCTGTCAGCAAGTATTTGCAAACTCCGACATATTTACAAGTATTACACCCACATAAAATAGACCATAGGAGATAAAATAATTCTTTACTACTTTTATTATAATCCGTGCAGTTATATTGGCCTACATTATACTGGGTTCTCCTCTTCTTTACTGGGAAGTCCACCATTGTTACAGCATTCTGTCATGGTGCAAGTCAGGGTCAGAAACTAGCAGGGGCTGAAGCAAAATGAATGTCCATGTAATATCTGAAATCACCCATGAAATTCTCCTGAAGGGACTTTAAATGCCCCTGTCAAACGCTACCTAAAACACCACTGACTCGCATAGCAAACCCAACACCTGCTGTTTCTACTGTACGCACTGCAGTGTGTTTTGTTTAAATTTAAGCCTATTTTGATCAAATTATATATATTTATGTCATATATTTTATCATATATAAATAATCATGACATGCTATATATATCCAAACATATATAAAAACATCAGCTCAACTAGCACACTCTTTGATTAGTAAGCTAGATGGCCAAAAGCTGTAAAAAATAATTGGGTAAATGTACCTTAAAATCAGTTTAAAAAAGAAAAAAAGGCTAACCAGGACAGCTAGAAGTTAGCAGAGTTAGCCCAAAAAAAAAGTCAGAAAATGTTTTCAAATTATAAAATATAACACAATTGAATCACCCCCCTAAAAAACATAAAAGCTTTCAGCTCAAAGTAGAATCTCTAGCTTTATGATGATAACTAACTAATATCAACAACATTAGAATCATTTTCACTTGGGATTCCAATGTATGTGATACAATAAGGGAAAGAAAGCTCCCAAACTTTTTTTGGCAGAAAACAACCAATCGAATCAGAAGTGTTGCCAAACGGCTGCTACTGTGAACAAACCAACCTTCTATTCTGCCCCTCCAGCAACAACAGAGGCAGCCGACTCACACACAGCCCGCGGCCTTTCTCCACTTCTAACTGTTGTGTTTGTTAAGCTCAGCTGACGGTTGCACTGCAAAAAGAAATGGAGGGAATTTTGGTGAAAATTAAAAATGAATGATTCCAGTTTCCTCTGCAGCGACAGCATAGTAGCTGATATTATTGCCCAAACACAAACTGCTCACAATGACGCAGACTTAGCAGCCGTACGTCCGTCCTCGCAGCAGGATTAGCACCACCAACCGCTGTGTAGCCACAGGAAAGACTTGAGGTTCTCTGTTCTGTTTGAAGTCACGCCTCGTAATATTTTACACCTGCAACAGTTTCAACGATCAACATTTAAATTAATGCTGAGGTAATTTTAATGTTGAACATAAAGTCACTTTTATCGGCTAACTGAACTTTTGTTTTAGCTCTATGCAAATTAGATTAGCATTCAATAGAACATTTTTTAAAACTGAGCAGTACACGCTGCAAAGAAATTAGCATCTTTAGCAAAGAGCCGTGTAAAATGGCTTAAGAACCTAAAGCAGAAATAAGTAAATGCTAACATACTGGACTCTTTTTTTTGTTTTCCACTATGCAGTTGTCATCGTATGACCAGAACTGGTGCACTTCTACAAGGAAACGCTGCAGGGCAGAAAGCCTAATGACTTCATATCAAGTGGGGACCTGCACGCAATCGATTGACAGACAGTATGTGGCCCAGCGACCGCTAGTTTGGGACGCCAGATATCAAGCATAGAAAAGAGATGGATGTCGGCAGGAGGTAGGTAAAAAAAAAAAAAATCAATCATGTGACAGGATGGAGGTCCATTCTCCACGGGACTGGGTCCATATAGGAGTCTGGAGGTCTCCTGCTGTGGGCTCCTAGATTGACCCTTCCATACAAGCTGAAACATTACCATGGAAACCACACTCACACTTTCACTTTCAGCCCACAGACGGTCATTAGAGCCTTCGGATATCTCCTCCATGTCATTTATGCCCCCCCCGCCCCCACACCGCCACCACCCCAGTGCCCTCTATTGAGGCTTTAAGAAAATTGCACCCCAATTTTATTTATCACCTCCTTCTTCTCCAACCTCCCCCTCAATCTTTTCGCTCTCGTTCAGCTCCTTGATTGTCTCTAATGGTCTTCTCCCTCCCTTCCTCCCTCCCTCCCTCTCTTCTTCTTCTTCAATCTTCTTCACCTTTCATCTGTCTATGGCCACCTCCACCGTCCTTTCATCAATTCTTCACATCCCTCTATTTTTAACACCACTCTGTTCGTCCCTTCTTGAGCCTCCGTTTTCTACCTTTACACCTGAGCAAATCCATCTCCTTCAATAATTATCCAGTTGAGAGTTTTAATTAGAGCGAGGAGCCGTGTCTGCTGCAGTAAAGCCCTAATTGAAACCACTGTTGGTCATCTTTCTTGTCGCTGTGCAGACGGAGACGACACTCTGGCCAAAATCTGATTTTCATCAGGAGGCAGGTTTTTCTAAAGTGATTAATTTCCATCACTGTATTACAACGGCGTAGAGAAAAAGCTTCACTCATGCCGCTCACAGCCGTCGGCCGCCTCAGGCGATCAATCAACAAATCTGGAAAATCAGCAGCAGCAGGAAGCTGGGGCAGTTTGCTGTGAAAAAACAAAACAAAAACAACACCAACAAAAAAAGTCGCTGAGGTAACTTGTTGCCGTGGAGATTGCTATAGTGATGGAGAAAAGTCGGGGGAAGAAGCAGGAGTGTGTGGCACCGATGCAGGGAAAACGATGATGTGTGTGTGTGTGTGTGAGTGAGTGAGTGAGTGAGAGAGAAAGAGAGAGACGACAATGTGTTGAGCCTTTTCAGCCAGTCTGAAGCCAATCAATGAGAGCTTATCAGGAAGTGCTCTGCTCTGCTGTCGGCTTTAGTGGAATCCAGAGGCAACGAGGACTCAGCCCCGGGTCTGTCCAGGACGTACTCGACAGGGGGTGGAAGAGAGAAGGCTTAACAAGTTCATGTGTAGATGGAGCGCATTCATGCGGGTGAAAAGCTGGATGTGAGAGGAGGACAAAGAAAGGAGTGGGTGTGAGTGGGTTTTGTCAAACAGACCAAGCATGTGTTGGTGTGTCCAGGGTTTGTTTGACCTAAAATGCTACTGATTCAAAAATATCGCTAGAAATCCGAAGTAAAAATGTGTCCTATTTTAATTGACATAAAACAGTTGAAACCCTGATATTAATTATTTAAAAAATATTCCAACTTTTTACAACAAGCCTTGTTACAATACAACTAGCAGGAATTCAGTCCCAAACCTTGACAGAGCCTGCCTCAGATTTACTCTGGGTTCATTTTCTGACCTGGATTCGACCTGTGCCTGTGAATTGGTTTGTTAGCTCCACTAATTAACGACATTTACACCTAGTTAAGGCAGCTTTTCTGAACCCAAGTCATTTCTGGGGTTTTTTTTTGTGTGTCCACTCAGTCTTTGTACTGGAGACACACCGTTGAATCAGCTTCTCACAATTTAACTGTCCCAAAAATATGCACTAAGCGGCAGCCATTATTACAAGAGCAGCGTCCCTGCTGGTTCTGTAAATGTGGACAAACGCGCTGCCCTCTGCGCCTGGACAGTCTGGGTTTGGCCATGGGGGTAAAATGAGATGTGGCAATTATTGTACGATTGAGGGAAACGATGGAGGGGGAGGTGGAAGGAAATTGTGTGCTTCTGTGTGTAATTGTGTGTAATTGTGCCATTTATGCTTTGAGCCAAGCAGCTAATTGTGAATCGTGAGCATAATGGGTTCATGAGGTCACATGCTGCAGACACAGACGTGGGGGAGAAGAAAAGAGGGAGGATTGAAATCCACAGGTAGAAATCAGGAGGAGACAGTAATCATCATCACGTCAGTGTGACTGCAGAACAGAGACAGGAAGGACAGATGAGACAAACGGGTTGATTGACAGATAATCAGAGACATCAGTCACAGAACACAGGAGGTGTGAAAAACACAGAAGAGAGGCTGTTATGAAAAAAAAAAAACTTTATTATAGCACCTTTTTTTAAAAGGTAAAATCATTCTATCTTCAGTCGTCACTGTCTCCTGGTCTCCTTTTTTTCGTTAGTGATATTAAACGAAGTAAAGCCTGTCTCAGCATCAATTAACACTTGTCTCTCTGACGGGGTGGAGACCTGTGGAGACATAATCAAATCAAACTCTTGTCACTTTGCGAAGATGTGAAATTTTAAAAACCTGCCACGTCCCAGAACCCTCACCTCAGGATGAAAAGATGAAAATGTATCAGGACACCTGATGTTCCTGAGGTGACGGCCCTCAACATTTCAGCTTCTTAAAATAGTGTAAAAGCACAAACAGCAAATACATCAGCTATTAGGGTTTTGTCACTGCAGTGTTTTTGTTCATTAAATATGCACAAAACAAGAGTGTGATGTTTATAACCTGACATTTAAAAATGACAGGTCTTGTTGGTTAAGATCCGACAGGCATCTTGAAATGTCTTGACTTTTACAAGAAGTTGAGAAGATAAGTTTCCCATTAAAAAGGCATCACTCCTGTAATTAATGTGCTGTCATTTGACAACATTAGCTCATGTGAGTGGGCCGCATGATGGCAAATGTTCTCAGAGAGCTCATCTTTAGAGTCAGATTCAGTCAGGTGATCGTTCACTCTCGGTTGATCGTAGGTGTGAATGTGGATGTGAAGGGTTGATGGACTCTGGGATGGACGAGTGGACAGTCTTCGTCCTCACCTGTTGACAGTTGTGATTGGCTCTAGAGTTGATTTGTTGGCTCCCATTGGAAATCACTTTTCAGTAATTTTAAAGGTTTAACTTTTTTAATACAAAAAATGTTTTATTATGTTAAACCAATGATCTTTTCTATTGAAATATTTTACATTTGACTAAAAATCAATTTAGAAATGGCTGCTCTTCAATTTTTTTATTTTTTTTCTTGCTGACTGAATGACTGTTGTTGTTTTATATACATCGCTAGATTTTATCATATTCAATCCCTCGTTTATTTTCCTGTCTTGCTGTCATTATGATTTCCCCCACAAGGGCAGAATGTCTCATGTTTCCAAATACAATTAGGGTCTAAACCAGGCATGGGAAAACTAAGGCCTGGGGGCCGAATGTGGCCCATTCAGCTTTCTAATCCGGCCCGCCAAACTTGTCCAAATTATATAATTGGTTTGTATCATGATTATACTTTACCCGCAATAGCCACGTTTTCCCTGTAGATGGTGTAGAGAAAGCTAAAAGCATTTTAGCATTTTGGCCTTCAAGCATAACTTTTACATCATCATTTATCTTAGTTTTAAGGACCATTTGTGACCCGCGAGTCAAAAAAACATATAAAAAATTTAGATTTTTAGAACATAAAAAACCCCAAATAAAACCCATTGTGGACACAGGTGTGTCTATAAACTCACTGGGTCACGTTGACACTTGTTCACTCACAGTATGAAAACTCTGATGTATATTTTTCTTCTCCTCAACAGTCAATATTTCTTGTCGCAGCAGATTGTTGTAATCATTCAAAGATAGCCTGTGTGCGCAGAGAGATATGTTTCTGTGCCCTCTCTTCTCCATCCTTGCTTTTCTCATAACCTACCGATCCTTCATTTCTTTATCTCTTAGCGCTAACACACACACAGACACGCACACATACATTCCGGTCCTTATCAACAGCTGGCAGTGTCTCTTTAGGTAAAGGCTCACCTGCCACAAGGTAGGAGAAGAGAAATCTCTTCAGTGTGTCAATACTGGTGACAGAATGACTGCGGTGCATTAGTCGGCTTCACTGTACTGAAGCTTTTCTGCTCCATCAGTCATGGCTGACAGGTTGAATTGTCCTTGACTGTCCTGCTCAACCTTTAAGATTTTTCTAATAATAATATCAACCTTATATAGTGATTAGTAGTATAACTATTATTATCGCTGTCTTCATAAAAAAAAAAAAAATGTCCACAGTAACCTCGACTCTTTTTGTCTTTAGTTGAAAAAAAGAAAATGCTTTAGACATTTGCATCCCAGAATACCTTGCAGTGCCCTGCAGCCTTGTACCACGCTGTTAAGTACTATATGCTGCGTCATGCATCATAGCCAGGACGTGGAGTCACACAAGTTCAATTTGGATGAGTGTTTTTTTTTTTTTTTCTTAATCCACTAGAGCAATAATACATCATAAAACTGCTGCCTGCAGTTTTGGCTGTGGTGTAATTTATTCAGGGAGGCGAATGATGCCTGTGTTTTCTTGTATATTGAATTCTGACCTGCTGCTCTCTGTTTGTGTGGAGACTTCCATTCATCTTTGTTTAATATAGGATTGATCTAGAAACAGCCGGTCTTCAGTCTCTGTTCGACATCCTTCAATTTTTAATTTGAATCAAAGTTTTACCAACTGATAGTTTTGCACTAAAGAACCACTGCTGTTCCCAATGAAAAAAATATGTTTGAGTTATGGTTGGTATGGTATGACGTCATAAGATTTGAGGTTTGATCCAAATTGCGATGATAAAATATTCTTAAATCTCAACATTATGATATAGGCTTAATTATAACATTATATCATATTAAGGTTGTACTCTAGTGACAAAATTATATTCAAATTAATGTTGGAAAATAACATGCAGAAGTTAGAAACATCTTTATGCAGATGATATTGACATTTATGTATTTAAATGCTGCACTACTCCTTTAGAACCTTAAGAGCGCAGATGTCACATGACCGGCAAAAGCAGGGAAGCCAAACAATAAAAACAAACTGAGAGCAATCTTAGTTTGCCGTGGTTTAATAATGATTAATCATGATTAATCATTATCAGAAAACGTTTTTAAGGGTGGGAACATTAATCATGATTAATCATTATCAGAAAAAGTTTTTAAGGGTGGGAACAAATTCTTTTATGAGTTATGAGTTTCCCACCTGTTTGTATTTGGAAGTAATCCAATTGATGGAACTATTAATGTGGAAAAATGTCAAGAAAAATATGTAAAGGTAGGAAGCACAATACTGGTCGTTACTGTGTATCTTGTGTGGAAAAATGTCAAGAAAAATATGTACAATACTGGTCGTTACTGTGTATCTTCAGGGTAATTTGACAGCCCCAGTCAAACGTATGCCTGATTTGGCAGATGTGAGGTTCTTAGAGCAGCTGGCACTGAAACATAATTATTGATTTTTTTTATTATATGTAGTAAAAAAAAATCCCTTAAGAGGGAATGTCAGGTTTCCATGTATTTACAATGTACTTATATGTCAGTATAGCTAATATCTTCATCAGTTGTTTCACAAAAGTGTAAAGAGTTACAGTTTTCATCTGAAAAGTCAATTGTAACTTTTCTTTTACATAATAATAACATCAGGGACTTTGCCAAGCACTTACTGTGAAATGCCACAGTTATGTTTCCTGAGGAAACAATACAAGCCCACTTTGGAGCCATTAGTGTTTTTAACTAGCATAATGTCATCACTGAGAACATTAAAAGAAATAAAATAAAAGGCCAAGTCTATTTGCTAACAACTGACCTTTGGACCTTTCCCGGCTTTAATTCTGTTTATTATTATAACCATTTACTATGTCGCTGACCTACGAGAGCTAAAGCAATAAAAAGATGTTTTTGTGGAAGATTCTGGAGACTCACTCCACTTGCCAACACTGACAGACATCCAACCGCACAGACACTATTAAAGAACTACTGTGATCCATCCTTCCACAGTGTGGAGACACAGGGAGTCTCACTAATTTGGCATGGGCCTTTCAGACTGCCTGTTAGCCATAACAAACAAAATAATTGTCTGATGTGAAGTGAGACAGCGTCTTCACGTCTCAGACAGCGTGGATGTAGAGACAGGATGTTCCTGCCTCAGGTCTGCACTGATGTGCTTTCTTTTATTTGTTTTTCCCTCCTGGGTTGCAGGATTCTTTTTTTCCACCACCTCTTCTACACCTTCTGCTTTTTCCACACACAGCGACTGCTCAAGGACAAATGTCAGCTAATATTTCACATTCTTACCCCAAAAATGTCAAAGTGGTAGACAAAGCATGTCTGTCTCCCTGCCCTGCTGCGTCCCACATAAATTTGTCGTCGCCGACTTTCCACATGATCACAAGTCAAAAGGTCGAATAATTCGATGATTTATGGGAAAAACTGTGAAGGTCAAAGACACCAAATACATAATATGAGCTGTCTATATATTTATACAGTATACCGTGATGTGGTAGAGAAGTCGAATACTGGTAAATATGCAGGTGAGTTTCAGTGTGTAACAGGCTTTAAAAAGCGAGCTGCATAAATTTGTTCTACTTTATTAGACTTTCAGTCTCACTCCACCTCCCCATGACAGAAAACATGCTGACAACAAGCTGATCTCAGCCTGTGAGGAAAGAAAATTACTTTTAGCTTCAGGCTGTGCAGGGTCATGTATTGTTACGACTCCGTTCCCTGTTTTCACCACAGTTGACGAGCAAGTGAAGGAGGTTCATTCTTGCAGCCAAATTTACCCTTTTTACCAAATAAAGTAAAGTAAATTGTCAGTAAAAGCGTGCTAAAAAAGCTAAATAGGAGTGGCAAGAAAAAAAAATATATATATATATTAAACTCTTATTTATATTGACATTAATATATCATGAAAAACCATCTCTATGCAGACGATACAATAATTAATTTACACACTTCTTCTCAGGTGCAGACCACTGGTGAACTCAAGGCAGATGTCTAACAGCTGCAGGTGTCATGGTCTGCTCTGCTCCTGGTTTCCAAGTGCCGAAAGAGAACGCTTCCGATGGTGAGTGTTGTCATTCAGTAGAGGGTTGAGTAAAAAACGAAAAAGGGGTTTAAACCAAGACTAGAGTGTTCACCGTCGTATCGTAATAAATCCGACACGTTTCTGTATTTTTCGTCAGTTTTGGCAAATTAACAAATGAGACGTTTTTCAAGGTTGATGAAGTGCCGTTAAGTAGAGTTAAGTATCATTTGCCACCTCTCTCTTCATCATCTTCACTCTGATCAATCACCTGCCCCGCGTTTCCATGTCAGCGCCGTTCAAGGCAGATTAGTTTCCACTGCTCCGTCGATCTGTGCTAAGCTTTTAATTGGATCAGTACGAGTGGAAGGATGCATTAGAAGAACACCAGAGACGCTTCCACTCGTCAAACTCAATTACAGACGTTAATAATGGATAAATTCACTAAAGGTGTGCATGCTTAAGAACTTGGTCTCTTAATAGCACTTATATAATGAAATGAGCTGGTCAGCTTCTCTTATAAACAGAGACTTGTTTCAGTAAATCCACTCATGTCAGCATTTACTGCACTGCCCAGAAATATGAGAGTGTTTGGACTACATTGACTTTTTTCTCAAATGTAGAAAATGATTCACGATGCACTGGTGCACTCAGGTCGGGACGAGTCAAAACTGTTGTGACAGGATGGGAGGAGTCGCTCCATCAATATCATTTTCTGCTTAGTTTTGGTTCTTGTTTTGTATCAAGCTATGCCAACATGAATTGATTTTTTTCCTTTGTTTTTCTCTTCTCCATTTCGACAATAATTTACACTGGGATACAGTAGTTGTGCCTGCATTCACAGACTGAAGTGGCTCAGACTTGTTGTTGTTTCATCTGTCTGTGTGATGCAGGTCTGTAATCCATAGTCCAGCCTTTTAGCCTGATAGCCTGTTAGCTAGCCTCGATTAGCATTCTGTAACACCTTACAAACAGTAGGTCAGTCTTTCCTGGCTGAGTAACGTGCACACTTCTGTTATATATTCCTGAGTGCACTCTCGCCCTGTGTGGAAGTGACCTCGGTGTGACCTCGCTGTCTGTCCTCCCTCTGGACTTGTCTCACTCTTTTCTTTTTTTTTCTTCTCAGGTTCACATCAAGGGCAGCCGTTAGCATAGCAGAAGAGGAATGTCATCATCACTTCACTCACCTTCGTCGCCCATTTAGTGAGTAAATCTAGGACTGTTGTGTTTTCTGTTATTTTCCAAGTATATTGCACACACAGGTGCACAGTCATAGGTCGATCAGACAATAAATTGACCAGAGCTGTGAGTGTGAGTTTGTTGGTGGTTGTTTGGCTCTATGTGTGGCACTAATGGCCTGGCAAACTGTGGGGGGTGCACCCTGTCCTCGCATGTAGACTCTGGGATTGGCCCCTGTGTCCCCTGTAACCTAGAGTAGGAGAAAGTAGTAGACAATGGATGGATGGATGGATGGATGGATGTTCTCTCTCTGTGTCAGTGTACATCAGTGCTGTTATGAACACGGATGTTGTAGTCAGGTGTGCTGCTGTTGTTGCCGTGCTCCGTCTGTTAGCCACAGGGAGAGTGCTTCCCTGTTGTCATGGAGAAGAGCAGGCAAGTGAGAAAGGAAGGAATCACTGAACCATGTAACACACACACATATGAACAACCTTTAAAATTTAATTAACCATTAAAGTCAATAATTAAACCGCACTATAATCAGTCCCTTTTTATCCTCTTTTAACAAGACAGGCTCAAATAATATATAATATATCTAAAAATGCATATAAAGAATGTATGTACGTTAACAAAGAGGAATATTTAGAGATAACACAGACGCCGGTGGTCTGGCTTATCACTGAGTTCACTTCAGTTAAAGAGGGACTCGGTGCAAAAAATGAAAACCGAGGCACGCAAAAGTGCCTGCAATTTCATTTGGTTTAACACCCGAAAAAACAAATACATTAACATTTTCATGGAGCAGCCAGTTTGCTCGTTCAAAGACTGAGAAGAGGAAAGACGAGGGAACCGTTGCAGAAAAGGCTTTTAAATTGCATCAGGAGTGGTTTAAAGTCCTGCGTAAACTTTTCTTTTTATATGAACACGTAACGTTGCAGCACTGACTCACCACCTGTCCGTGATAAATCTCCACGGAGATGTTGTGGTAACGTGGCTAGATCTTTCACTTTCAAATCACAAAGGCTTAGATGGAGAAAAGGTGGGCAAACTGTTGGTTCACAGGCCGAAATGGGCAAATACTGTGTGTGTATTATATACGTGTGGTACTTTATTTGTTTTGTTTTTTTTAAGGAAAAAGTTGTTGCACACTGTTCAAATTCAGTGAGAGCAACAGCAACAAGACTTAAATAATTGTTGATCCTGTTTGGTCCTACACTATGTAGACTGTGTTTTAAGTGTAGGACACAGCGTCCTGCACTGTAAGCTGGTTACATTTTACTGAC